GCTGTAGAGTGGGAAGAAGGATTGTAGGAGCCAGAGAAGTCAAGGACACTACAAGAAAACCCTCAGAATCAACTAACCTGGGCTCATAGTGGCTCACAGAGACTCAATCAATGACCAGAAAGCCTGGAAAGATTACAAACGTATTAATGACCACGCTTGCCTAACAGTCTGCAGGCATGACAAATTCATGACTCTAACAAGTTTTATTTTTTTTCCAAAGTTTATTAAATTATAAAAGTTTCCATTTCCGCCCCTCCTCCCAACACCCTCCCACTTCCACTTCCCCCACTCCCTCTCCTCCTCCCTCTCCATCCCTAAGAGAAGTCAGGGTTTCCTGCCCTGTGGGAAGTTCAGGTTCCTCCCCCCTCCCTCCAGGTCCAGGAAGGTGAGTATCCAAAGAGACTGGATCCCAAAAATCCAGTATATGCAGAGGAAACAAGTCCCAGTGTCATTGTCAATGGCTTTTCAGAAAGACTCTGGGCCAGCCACATCCAGAGAATCCGGTCACATTCAGAGAATCTGGTTAGATCACATGCTCGTTCAGTTCCAGTCCAGCTGGCCTTGGTGAACTCTCATTAGATCAGTCCCCTTGTATCAGTGGGTGATGGCACCCATCGCAGTCCTGATTTCTTTTTTCATTTTCTTCATCCTTCTGCTCCTCATTTGGACCGTGGAGGGCTCAGTCCGGTGCTCCAATATGGGTCTCCGTCTCTATCGCCATCCAACGTCGGATGAAGGTTTCCTCTGCTCTTGCCTTCTTTGTTCACGCTAGGGAGCTAGGTCCAGTGTTCCGACGTGCGTCTCCGCCTCCATTTCCCTCCATCGCCAGATGAGGGTTCTATGATGATATGTAAAATGTTCATCAGTATGGTTGTGGGCCAAGGCCGGTTCAGGCACCCTCTCCTCTGTCCAGAGAACAATCTGGGGATCTCTCCTTGGACCTGGGATCCCCTTTATACTCAAGTCTTTGTAAACCCTAAAATGACTCCCTTAGTTGAGGTATATACTTCCCTGATCCCATATCTATCCATTCTCCCTCCCCCCCATCCCAGTCCCCCGATCTTTCCCCATTCCTCCCCTACCTCCTTCTCTCTAACCCTCTCCCCTTCCAACAGCCCCCCACCCCCTCATGCACCCAAGGTTACCTGGCACTCTTGTCTATTTCCAATCTCCAGGAGGATAGCTACATGATTTTCATCAGGTTCACCTTTTTATTTAGCTTCTCTAGGATCACGAATAATAGGCTCAAAGACCTTTAATTATGGTTAGAATCCACTTATGAGTGAATACATACCATATTCCTCTTTTTGGGTCTGGCTTACCTCACTCAGCAAAGCGTTTTCTCTTTCCATCCATTTGCATGCAAAATTCAAGATGTCATTGTTTTTTACCGCTGAGTAAAACTCTAATGTATATATGTTCCACACCTTTTTTTAACCATTCTTCTATTGAGGGGCACCTAGGTTGTTTCCAGGTTCTGGCTATTACAAATAGTGCTGCTATGAACATAGTTGAACAAATGCTTTTGTAGTATGTTAGGACATCTCTTGGGTATATTCCCAAGACTGGAATTGCTGGGTCCTGAGGGAGGTTGACTCCCAGTTTCCTGAGAAACCGCCACACTGATTTCCACAGTGGCTGCACAAGTTTGCATTCCCACCAACAATGGATGAGTGTTCCCCTCATTCCACATCCTCTCCAGCATAGGCTATCATTGGTGTTTTTGAGTTTGGCTATTCTGACAGGTGTAAGATGATATCTCAAAGTTGTTTTGATTTGCATTTCCCTGATCGCTAAGGAGGTTGAGCATGACCTTAAGTGCTTTTTAGCCATTCGAAGTTCATCTGTTGTGAATTCTCTGTTCAGTTCAGTACCCCATTTTTTAATTGGGTTAATTAGAGTTTTAGTGTCTAGTTTCTTGAGTTGTTTGTATATTTTGGAGATCAGACCTTTGTCTGTTGAGGGGTTTGTGAAGATCTTCTCCCAGTCAGAAGGTAGCCTTTTTGTCTTACTGACAGTGTCCTTTGCTTTACAGAAGCTTCTCAGTTTCAGTAGGTCCCATTTATTTATTGTTTCTCTTATTGTCTGCGCTCCTGGGGTTCTGCTTAGGAAGTGGTCTCCTGTGCCTATGTCTTGTAGACTACTTCCTACTTTCTCTTCTATCAGGTTCAAAGTGGACGGATTAATGTTGATGTCTTTAATCCATTTGGAAGTGAGTTTTGTGCATGGTGATAGATATGGATATATTTTCATTCTTCTACAGGTTGACATCCAGTTATGCCAGCACCATTTGTTAAAGATGCTATCCTTCTTCCATTGTATAGCTTTAGCTCCCTTGTCAAAAATCAGGTGTTCATACGTTTCTGGGTTAATACCCGGGTCTTCTATTCGATTCCATAGGTCGACTACTCTGTTGTTATGCCAATACCAAGCTGTTTTCAATACTGTTGCTCTGTAATAGAGTTTGAAGTCAGGGATGGTAATGCCTCCAGAAGTTCCTTTATTGTATAAGATTGTTTTGGCTATCCTGGGTTTTTTGTTTTTCCATATAAACTTGATTATTGTTCTCTCAAGGTCTGTGAAGAAGTTTAATGGGATTTTGATGGGAATTGCATTGAATCTATAGATTGCTTTTGGTAGAATTGCCATTTTTACTATGTTGATTCTCCCAATCCAAGAGCAGGGGAGGTCTTTCCATTTTCTGGTATCCTCCTCAATTTCTTTCTTCAAGGACTTAAAGTTCTTATCAAATAGGTCTTTCACTTCCTTGGTTAGAGTTACCCCAAGATACTTTATGCTATTTGTGGCTATCATGAAAGGTGATGTTTCTCTGATTTCCCTCTCTGCTTCTTTATCCTTTGTGTATAGGAGGGCAACCGATTTTTTGGAGTTGATCTTGTATCCTGCCACATTACTAAAGGTGTTTATCAACTGTAGGAGTTCTTTGGTAGAGTTTTTGGGGTCGCTTATGTACACTATCATATCGTCTGCAAATAACGAAAGTTTAACTTCATCCTTTCCAATTCGTATCCCCTTGATCCCCTTATGTTGTCTTATTGCTATTGCTAGAACTTCAAGCACTATATTGAAGAGGTATGGTGAGAGTGGAGAGCCTTGTTGTGTTCCTGATTTTAGTGGAAAGACTTTGAGTTTCTCTCCATTCAATTTGATGT